ACGATTTGCAACGGGTCAATTTAAACGTGAGGAATAAACAGTAACATTATTATATGTATATTATATTATATCTCATGTAGATATACTAATAATGACATTGTTATTAAAAGTATATTACATATCTGATGTACATACAGTAATAATGACATTGTTATGAAATGTATATTACATTATATCCCATGTAGATATAGTAACAATTATATTGTTATTAAATGTATATTACATATATGGTGTAGATATAGTAATCATTATATTGTTATTAAATGTATATTACATATATGGTGCAGATATAGTAATCATTATATTGTTATTAAATGTATATTACATATATGATTTAGATATAGTAATCATTATAATTCTATTAAATGTATATTACATATCTGATGTAGATACAGTAATTGTTGGAGCGTCCACCATTGCATATTTAGAAAACGTGCCCGATATGGGCTGATCGAAATTTCATTCTAAGAAATAGATAGCGTCGAAGCACTTGGAAATAAGTGGCGTCGTCCTGCCGCCATAAAACAGTCACCAACGGACCACGGTCGCGAACGTTCGAACAGTTTTGTTTTTTTTTGTTCTTTCTCTTTTTCTTTACCGTGTAATTCCGAATTCAATAGCGTCTTGCCGCGATCTGGTTTCTATTACGAAGTCGAGTGCCTTTGTTCAATTACACAGTTTTTTACTCAAAAACAAAATACGCACGCGGCCTTACCCGGTTCGTAAACCCGAGACCTCGTCGCGCCAACAGAAATCACGTAACGCCCGGGGCCCTACCGAGTCCACTAATTACAAACCCAGGGTCCCGCCGGCAACAATCGACTCACCTGCCCGAGGCCTTACTCGGTTCGTAAACCCGAGACCTCGCGGCGGCAACAATTAAAGCTGTAAAGTCGCGGAGTTCTCTCTCTCTCACTGAGTCCTCGGCGTACTTTATGTAATTTGATCTACGTTGTCAGGTAGATAGAGGTTCTCACTTACCTTTCGCTGGACGAGTAGAACCTATCTATGGACGGAACCTGTGGTGGTGTGTCGTCCAGGTGTTGGAGCGGTAGGGTAGACGTTCGAGTGAAGATCACGCACTTTCGATCACAATGAATGTTTATTCGTTACTGGTACAGTTCTTGATTCGCGCACGTTTACAATCGAGTCTTACAGAATCTTGCTCTGTCGAAGCCTTGAGCTTCGTAGCAGAGTCATAAACGCTAGACTTATTTAATTTATTGATATTACCGGAATCTTGCTCTGTCGAAGTACTGAGCTTCGTAGCAGAGTCGTGTAGATTCTAGAGTATCGAACTCTGAGCGGTACTTCGCGGATTATCTTCGCGGATTTAATGATTTACAGATGGTCTGAGTGATTTAGTCTGATCGCGATACTTTCGGTTTCGTACTATGTTGATAAGTCGATGAACCGTTTAGATGTACTGATAAGAACTGCACCTATGAGAACTTCCTACGAGAACTATTGGTAAAATTTGACTGCGTGCAGGCGGGCCCGGTCGCGTTATTTTATATTGATAAATGAGGTCGACATTTGATTTGGCAATTCGGGTGAACCACCTCGTTCGGATCGTCAGCGTTCTCGCCGTACAACGACCCGGCTGAGTTGCTCACTCAGAATTTGCGGAACGATGAATTTGGATGGTGCAATAGAAGTTTAAAGAATTTGGGTGATGAAATAGAAGTTTCAAGAATGCGTCGCAGGATGTGACAATACATATATTGTACTGATTTTAATTGTGAAATCAATCACAAAATTAAGGAAACTTATGTTTATTTACGTGCATATAGAATGCGTCACAGGACGTGACACCTGGCCGCCTAGATTGTTGCATATCGGCACGATATCAACAAGTAGATTTGAAGAGAAAAAAAAATTTTCAGCAGTTATATTTGTCCAAATTCATAGTTTCTACCTTTATAAGTTAGATGAGGTTTTACAAATTTGAGATGAGTGTAATTACAATATTTTATTAGTTGGTGTGAATTTGTTGCGCTGAGTAATTTTTGTTGCTGGTGTTTCTTTGCGTTCGCGGATCGGTGTATTACAAAGAGTAAATGGTTTTTGGCTGACCATTTACTTCCCTCCCCGCTGAGATTGAGGCGGTAGGGGTGCGTAACGTAACTCTGGTGCGTGTACTAAATAATCTTGTAGACCGACACTTCTGGGCTTCTGTTATTAATTTTAAATTTAAGGTTTGTAGAATGAAATTGGTAATTCTTGGAATTTCTATTGTGGCGGGTACGCGCTGAGACAGCAAGTGTCTTGCATGCGCTGGTTCCTAGTATTATCGATGCTTCGTCGGTTAATGTCCCGTCTTTACTTGGAAATTTTTGCGCACCTGGTGGGGTGTTTGATATATATTTCGGTCGATCGGATGGTATCGTCACTTTGAATGATTTATTCTGATTCTATCGTTAACGCTTTTATCACTACCTGGATTGCCATGTCGTCGTACATACCGTTCCCGGTTTTTATGGATCTATCTAGGCCGAGGAAGGAGATCTTCATCTCTTGGGTGAGTATGTTTTATTTTATTTATTTATTTATTTATTTTGTTTTTCCGTATTATCTTTTTAGCGCACTGATGGTAGATTCATATGGTGCCCGGGAATGATAAACCTGTCGTACCGGCGCACGGTGCGCGAGTACCGTCGGAACTTCCGGCGGTACTTGGAAGAACTGTACATCTGGGATGAAGACAGGATGCTCGACATCGCCCCTCTTTTCGAGGATCAATGGCCAGGAATGCGCTGCCCTGTAGGAGAGAGGAAGTAGAAAGAAGAATGTTTCCTCTTTAAATTTATTTTCCTTCGTTTTTTTTTTTTTTTTTCAATTTTCGATTATATTTATTTATATTTTTATTCTTTTTTTTGATTATATTGATTACACTATTTTTTTTTTGAATAAAGCACAATTTTATTTATTTTGATTCTGATTCGTGCATTGTTTTTTTTCTTTTTGTGAACCCTTCCTTTTGTTTTTAATAAAATTTCTTTTTATTATAACTTGTTGTTTACTGTATCCTCCCCTTCCTTTTTCTGAACAAATATTTATCGTAAGGATTTTATTGTACCTTGTTATTTTGTAAATCCTTCTCCTTTTATCTTTTTTTGAATAAATTTTTATTTTATTTTGAATTTGCGTGTGTTTATTTATGCGTATTCCCTGATTTCCTTATTTTTAGTTCGATTATTCCATTGTAAACACCTGTATTTGTTTCTGCATTATTGGTTGCGGTACAGGTGGTTTAATTGCAGGTGGTCGTAGTGGAACGGGTGGTAGCGTTCTCCAATTGAAGGTGTTTGGTCGTTCTATTTTTATTTCGTTCAATTCGATATCCTCGTTTCTGGCTAGGTTTCTTTTCTTTGGAAGTTTTTTGATGGTTTTGTTGTTTTTTAGTGTCACTAGTAAGTATGTAATTGAGCTGAAGATGGCTGCCAATAGATGTATGGACCATCCATATAGTGTATGTAATGTATATCCCCTTATGATCGTGTCAATTATTAGCTTGCAGATATGAATGATTATGAAAATCATTATTACTGCAGAGCTAATAATAATTTCCACGAATTTATTCCACATATTTTCTGCGATATGGGATAGCGTGTTCTCTGTAAAAAGATTATTGATTAATCCTCCTTGTACGCTTTCTTCTCCTAGCATGCCCCTCGTTATTGTGTTCAGCAAGGCTGATTTTTCTAGGGGGAACATAATGTGCTGTTGGAGTTCTTGGAGGTCTTCTTGTGAATAAATTCCGCTTGACGCTAGTGAATTTATTTCCTTGTATTCCCAGGAGATGTTCGTATTTGGCTTTAGAATTCCTGGGTTTTGCGCTTTCCTTGGTGTTGGTGTTAGTGCTATCCAATTGTTGTTCAATTTGTAATATTGCGGAATAATTGTATTGCATTCTATCTGCGTTCCTGCTTTCATTAGTATGTGTGTTTTAGGCGTTAGAAATCGTGTTTTGTTCCCGGAGGTTACTGGTAGTTGCGTGTAGCACTTGTCTGTGTGAAATAGTTGTACTTCCTTTGGTGTGCATTTTATGATGTGCACCACTTCTCCTGCAATCCTAGCAATGTATCCTGGTTTTTCCATTAGATCGTACGCGAATTCGTCTGGTGAAATAGAGGCTATGAATAGGGAATTATAGATTGTTCTTTTTTCTAGTTTGCATCTTTCGTTTAAAATGTCTAAGTATAAATTTTGTATTTGAGCCCTGAAGTGTTTTTCTACGTATACGAATTTTGAGTTAGTATATGTAAGAATGTCTAGGTTTAATATTTCCTTTGACGGTTGTACGTCGTTATCGAATAGTATATTGTTTTGTGTTCTTTCGTATATAATTAATTTTGGGTGTTCGGTTTTTGTTAGTATTCTATTGCAAGTTTCGATGTCTCCTTTCGTTGCTAACGCGAATGAGATGTCGGTTGTTTCTATTGTGTATAATGTTTCGCGATTTTTAGATGTTAATTTTGTTACCGGACCTCGGTATAGTACGTCGTATCTAGTTTTTAAACAGTCTTCTCTCGGTAGCGCTGACCAGAAGGTGTGTCCTCCTTCCATGTCGATACAATGTTCATCCGAAGATTTACAAACTGTTCCTGATGCTAAGCGTAATTTATCGTTGTTAAGACTAACTTGCGCGGTGTATTCTATTAACGTGATTTTTATAAGGCCCTGTACGTATACTTTATTCCATGTTCCGTAGCTATCGGAATAGGACGCTCCTGTACATGAGCTTTCTATTGCGTTTCCCGCGAGACTTATTCCTGCGGATTTTGTAGAGTTTATTTTTAAATTTGCGATTGTATGAAAGTTGTCGTATCTAAATATTCCGGTATTATGTATGGATTTACAGTTTTCATGGCTTATGTCTAAAAGGTATTCTTGTATCGCGTTTTCTACTGGTACTAAGTGACTGAACATTCCGCATCGAAAAATTGTGCGTTGAATTTCTATTTTGCATTGTATGATTGGGACCGTTCTGAATTCCGCTAATTGTAGTAGCCGTATTGTGGTGTTGGTTATGCTAACGTCTGCATGGTGGAAGTCGCATTCCCCGGTGTCCAGTAAAGAATATGTCGATACGATCGGGTTGGTTGCGCCGCAATCGAATCCGATTATTGCTTGGCTAATTTTGAATGTGCTGATATAAATTAATAGAATTAACTTCATTGTCGGCTCTTTTCCTAGAAAGAAGGCTTATGTTATTTCCTGTGCTGCTAAATGCTTAGTTTGTTCGCATGAACTGTTTTTGGCTTTCCTTTGTAATTGATTGTTATGTTATTGTTATCTCCTATTTTTAGTATTTCATATGGCCCTAGATACCAATCTTTTTCTAATTTTCCCGGTTTGGGTTCTTTGAGTAACCATACTTTGTCTCCGGTTTTAAATTCTACCGATTTAATGAATCTATCGTAGTATTCTTTTGATTTCATTTTTGAGTCTATTAGATTTTCGCGTGCCATACTAGCTATAACTCTCATGTTTTTTATTAGATTTTCCAAGTAATCGTTGTGTGTAGCTAGTTGTTCTGATTTCTTTAGGGGTTCAGTCGAAGGTAGCATAGCTGGATAAGCGAAAACCAGTTCATGTGGTGTGAATTTATGACTGGAATGAATGCTTGTGTTATAATTGAATTGTGCTAGCTCTAGAAGTTCATCCCATTCACATTTTTTCGTTGAAAAGTTTTTTAAATATTCGCAAAGTGGATGATGTGCTCTTTCTAATGATCCATTTGATTGGGGTGAAAAAGCTGCTGTTTCGATTTTTGAGAATTTAAATCTTTTTGCAACTTGTTTCATTATTTTGCTAATGAAATATGTTCCTCTATCTGTGAGTACTATTTTAGGTGAGCCAAAAGTGCATATAAAGGGTATAGCCGGATAAGATGGTCAAAAGTGCCCCCAAACCAAATTCGACTTGCTATGAACCATTCGATAGGTGATCAAGAAAAACCAGTCTGTGCCAAGTTTCAACCCTGTATGTTATCTGGGAGGGTAGTTACGGGTAAAAATGTAATTGCGAGGTTTTTGGCCAATTTCTCCTATTTAATGATATTCGAAAATTCTGAAAAAAATCAGAGACATTTCTGTTTGCGAGGTACATATTACAGAATTTTTTCAGATTTTTAAATTGAAAACTGAAGCCGTGAAAAATCAAAAACGTCAAAAAATCCTGAAAAATGGCGATTTTGTATTGAAGGAGATGAGGTCCTACGATCATATTTTTTTTATAAGTGTATATTATTGATACTATCATCCTCAATTTTTTTCAGATTTTTTGGAGAGGTGCGCCATAGTTAAAAAAATTAAAAACCGATTTTTTCGCTGTTTTTTGCGTGTTAGAGTTACTTATTCGACGAATTTTCGTCTGTTATTTATCACATACATGGTATATACACTGTTCAATGTTTTTACATGCAGTGGAATAGAATAGGAATTAAACTAAATAAACATAATTGGTAAAAGTACGTTACGTCCGGCATATTTCAAAAGATTAAAGGTATTTTCAACGGTATCGGTGGTCCAGTGGTAAAGCGTCTGACTGCTAAACCACTGGAAACTTCTTTTCGTAGGTTCGAGTCCACTCAAACTCAATTTTTTTTTTTTTGGAAATACATTTTTTCAAACTTCTACCTATATGATAATCATTAATATACTTGAGATACAGGGTTGAAACTTGGCACAGACTGGTTTTTTTTTATCACCTATCGAATGGTTCATAGCAAGTCGAATTTGGTTTGGGGGCACTTTTGACCATCTTATCCGGCTATACCCTTTGTGTTACAATTCGTTGTACAAAATCGTACACGTATTATAATTGTCAATGACAGTTATGGTTTACATGTCCCGACCTACTGCCTCTAGATCTCTATCAGTCGTTCTCTCGTCTAAAAAACATTTAGTTGTACACTGAGTTGAATTGAACTTGTCGCAGTGAAGTTGGCTACAAATTCACTAACGCATTCACGCCGCGTCGGTGAGTGAATGCGTGGCCAACTTCACTGCGACAAGTTCAATGCAACTCAGCGTATGTCAGTGTACAAAACATATTCCCTTTACGATTTTACCACTCATCGTCAGTTGGCCTCCTAGGTTATCTGACCTAACACCTCTGGATTTATATTTATGGGGTCACGCAAAAGAGTTGATCTATAAAAATACGATAAAAAATGCATTTACTATTATTTCCAATACATTTTGAATATTTGAAAGAGTTCGGCAATCACTTATTTGACGAATAGAAGCGTGCATTCTTGCAGAGGGAGGAATTTTCAAACATCTCTTATAACTGCCACAATAAACCATAAATATCTTTAAAAGCATGTATCTTTTTAATAAAGCATTTTCGGACATAAGCTTATATAAACTTTTTTCATCTATTTGACCTGAGTAATACGTAATTTAAGTTTGGTCCCAATTGTTTTGGACACCCTGTATGTCATCGGTACTATACCACGTTATCGTCGTATATCATGGTCATTTATGATACATGCAGCGGTAATTATATGACTGCAGCATGGTGTAGTATCTGCAAAAATACTGCATGCTATGGAGTATGTGTAGTCATATACCATGGTATAGTTACCGTGAAGAGAAAAGAGCATTGCTCCATTCATTTAACTCACTCTTACATTGGCTTTAGTTAGTGGTAGGAGTTTCTCCCTCTACACTTTCTCTTAACGGAAGGAAACCTACGTTGCATGCAAATGTACAACTGCATTTATCTACACATTTGTAGCAGATACGTGTACTTGCTAAGCTCAGCCAAATGAATACAAAATATAAATTAAAATGATCTCAAGTTATTTTAATACGAGATGATTAATGCTTAGTCCCTATATTCCTAGATCCATGTTGCTAGTTAAATCAATACAGACAACTGAAATTTTTATCAAACGTTGCCAGCTAATTTGCCTTTGCAAATTCTTTGTTTATCATTAGGCAGCGCACACGCAAGGAAGTAGTCATATCAAAACTTGGACAGACGGTATATACAGGGTATATACAGGGTGTCTTGTTTAAGTTGAATATTTAAATTATTTTCACTGCTATCGAAAATAAGAAAAAAACTGGGAGAAGTTTATATAATTTGAAGGGATGCATTTGGCGAGGATTAAAAAAATGATTTTGAGATTATTTTGAATGTGATTTTAAGGTCACTGGGTTCGTTTATATAATGCGACATTGTAGTGATCATTTTAAAATCATAAGTCATTGCGACGTCATTGGGGTTTATTTTTATTACTGCCAGATATGCATACACCTTAAAACCATATAAACTCCTGTTAGTTTGTTTTTGTTTTTTCAACAGCAGGGAAAATAATTTAAGTGGTGCAGTAAAACCAGACACTTTGTATATAAAGACATATGTGTACAAAATTACGTTGCCTTTTACATTAAATAACTAATTATGAACCCTGTGTCACTGTGAATTTTCATTGTTTTATTTAAATAACTTTTTTTAGACTGTTCGGAAATGGTAGAAAAAGCAACATGAATTAATCAAAAACACAAGTATTATGTTACCAACTAATTATAAGTAATTCTTTTTAATTGGAATTATCTATTGATACTCTTTCAATGCAATGATATTTCAAAATTTGCAGTTTGGTAATTTATATCATTACGGACAATTTTTTCAGAATTTCACAAGAAAAATAATAAATATTTTGCAATCTTATAGGCTTTACATTTATTCCAATTATAGTATATAGGGTTAATTTTGTTTATATCCCGTTCAAAGCAGTGTCGATAAAAAAAATAGGAAAATACTACTTACAAGTAGAAGCTAAATAGGAATGACAGCAACATTCCCGTAGCCTTGTGTACTCAGCACAGTCTTTGGCCCGTACTTTACATTCTTCTGGTCCGACGTGACAAGCGTGTTCGACGAAGGGAAACACCTCTAAAACAATAGTTTGATAAATATAAGGTGTTCCAAAAATAATGTACAACCCGAAAACTGTAGATTCTCTATGCGATCACATTGCAACTACGAATTTAAAGCAAATTGGGTTTGGGTTAGGTTAGGTTAGATTTTTTTGAGTTATCAACTCTCTATTCATTCCCTTCCATTAATTACACTACTTGTTAATGGATATAATTTGAACACAATTTTGCAAATTGCAATTATATGTATATCATGCATATATGTCGAGGGTAAACTTTTTTTCTTATAACAAATAACTTTTTAACAAACAATGAACGACGATTAAGTTATAAAGAAAAGTTACTCAGGGCGACTTCATTGAGCCTGGATCTCAAATTTTTGTTTTGAATCAACTTTAACTTTAAATATTTCAGAATTTATAAAAGACTCCGATTAAATTGTAAGGAAAAGTTACTCAGACTCATGTTCTTGACAACATATGTCAATGTCAAGGTCGTCGGAGCTGGGTCCCCTACACTGCATAATTACCTTGAGATTTAAATGTCCTAATTTAATATTCACAGGGAAGTGCATGTAGAGACGAACATGCATACATAGGTTCTCACTGTCAGCTCAAAAAGGCCGTTGACACTGGTCTTATCGATATTTAACACATTTAGCCCGGGTAACATCATAAGATGCCAAAATACTTAAACCCGAATCCGGGTGACATCATACATATCACGCCTCGCTCAATGCTCAAAGTTTCGGTGAAATGCATCGACTAACCGTTACTTACAGCCGTTGGGTGTAAAATCTTACATTAATCGTACGATAATAGTTTAAGAATTATACGGAGAGTTAAGGATCTATAGCTCAACCATTACAGCTTCCTCCAGGAACGTCTTAAGAGCTGGACAAAGTGCTAGTATCAGTGAATACGTGATAGCTTAATTTTTAACTTCAAATTTATATTCGAAAAACGAAATCGCAAATTGCAAAATGGTAAAGTCTATTCGTTTCTTCATGCACAGTCTGAAATGTTTTGGCTGTACATAACTTTTGAGACATTTTGTATAGGGTAGCAGTTTAACATTAGAACTACCAAACCAGTCAAAATGACTGGTTTCTAGTTTCTTATTTTAATTTATAAATTTTATCGAGGTATTTTTGTTAAAATGAATATTGGCTATCATCGAGATAAAGAATGGATGTATACATATATTAAATTCTGTTTCATCCTTTATTTATTTATGTAAGACTCGGATAAAAAATACAATTTATTGATGAATGTTAGGCTTACAATGGTCGCCACAATACTGGCTTTCCGGCATTCCGGAAGCCACGCCACATTCGGTACGCAATTAAACAAATGACTGTCGAAGGCACTACCGTGCCTATAAAATAATACATAGGGCGACAGAACCCGATTACATTTACTTTTCTACATTATTTTTAACTGAAACATAAGTGTGTATTAAACGTCGGTGGTTCTAGTGTTAAACAAATGAACAAAAGATAATAATAAAGTACTATTGAAAAACATTAAACTTGAATAGATTAAGGTACATAAAATTTAATAAATAAATACCTTTAAGGGGAAACTTACGAAAGGCCTCATCACCCCCGGACAACCAAACTTCGGATTTATAGTAATTGAGGGGTGAGAAATCGAATGAGACCATTTTCAGAACTGGCAAATAAACCGTTCTCGAGATATACAGGGTATTCTAAAAGTGCGGAAACCCCCTATTATCTTGATAAGAACGCATTTCCACGCAAAATGACTAACCTAACCCTAACCCTAACCCTAACCTTAACCTAGGTTAGGTTAGTCATTTTCCGTGAAAATGCGTTCTTATCGAGGTAATAGGGGGTTTCCGAACTTTTAGAATACCCTGTATATCTCGAGAACGGTTTATTTGCCAGTTCTGAAAATGGTCTCATTCGATTTCTCGTCCCTCAATTACTATAAATCCGAAGTTTGGTTGTCCTGGGGTGATGGGGCCTTTCGGAAGTATATCCCAAAATGCTTACGTCACGGATCATCATGTTTCTTTGTACGTTCATCTTAGTTCAAATTTACGAGCTTATGCGTTTTTGTAGACGAAATCTACTTTTTTACAATTTCAAAAAAACAACTCTATACGTCGGTTGCTATAGTCTTCCTAAATATGAATCACAGTTTCACTGCTATTTCGCTAGAGACGCTACTATCACTTCTGATGATCTTCAACGTAAGGTAATGCGTTACGAATGTTCTTCTGCGTTGACTCCAACAGTGTGAATGTAGTGCTAAGTTTAGTGTTTAAGTACATTAAGAAAGAAGGGGTGGCTGATTCATAGTGAAACGCGCATCATGGCAAGAAAAATCGTACTGAAGTGTGAGGAGGAAGCAGCGAAAAGAGAACTTTTGCATGCTATCGACAAGCCACAAATCCATGTCTGTCAATCTAAATGATCGGCAGAATTACGAACGAAAGTTTCTTTGAAAATGAAACTTTGCCATCGCCAGGAAAAAAACAGAAAAAGGCCACTGAAAACAATTGCGACAACAGCTTGTCATACAATGAAAAGTGATTTAAAATACGATTCCCAATTAGTTGTATACAGAGATTAGTAAACGGAGAATGACGGTAAACAGCGTTTCAACTATTAATGTTTCTTACGGTGAATCGAAACAGAAAACCAAAACTGGACCTGGCGCGATAATTCAAAACGCAAGAAATTGTCTACATCTACAATAAAGCACAGCATCCATGGACTTCAATTACACGTCTGTGTCTGCTAAGATGAGAAGGTGGTACTTTGTTACGAGCTCTTTCACAGTGGAACAGTAAAAAACAGCACTTTAATTATCTAACCAAGACCTTTCGAAAGAAGACTTCAATTCGTGCAATGAAACGACGTAAAAGCATTTTTATCCGTAACAATACGATGCCCTATGTTACCTCTCCAGTTAACAGAATACTGCTCGAACTTGAATAGGGAATTCCTGTCCTACCCAGCTTACTCTTTTTACAACTGGCCATCGAATTACCATCAGTTTTGGCCGATGTATTACGGCTTTTCTCATGTACAATTTCGAAATGAAAATGAAATTCGTAAATAAAGCCGTAGTTTTGTCGCCTCCGTAACGAGAAACTTTTTCGCGTAGTGAAATTGATGGCATTTTATGCTAATAAATTTATCTTTTAAAAGTAATGAAAGATTTTGTTTACATAGCTGATAATTTCGCTTGACTTTAGTCTGGCCCAATTAACAAAATCACCCTGTATAGTAATTCGGCTAATAGCATTCCACTAACTGTCCCTTCTACTAATGTTTAATTGCTTATGTGATAGCAGCTGATTACCGCCACGGACGTGTAGGTATACGTAGAATTCACTGTAATAGTAGCAACTTTATTTTGCAAATATCTCGAAAACAAAAGCCGAATTGCTTAAAGTTGCTTAGAATCATCGTCCCAACAAAATATTAAAAAATGGGCGAAATCGGTGGGGTAGATGAGATAATTACCAAAATTTAATATAAACATGTCTCCTACTTGACCTTGTTTCAAAGTTATAGCTACTTTTGTGTTTCAATAATCTATGCAAGTGTTCATCTTTATAGAGGGTGTGGCATTTAACAAACATCGCCTCAATAATTCGATTGCTATTAGTGATAGAAAAAAATGTGCCAGACAAAACTTGCTTGGTTTCGAGAGTGGCATAATCTTATGGTAATAGACACGGTAGTTTTTTTATAAGTGGACGCGTAGAGCGCGCGCTCTCATTTTCTCAAAGGAAAATGTTGTTCAGCATCACCTCAGCTACCATCCCTTCTCGGGACCAACGCGAGTTCTGAAACATCCTGCATTCAGTGATTATCTAGCTAAGAGGGCAGTGGTGCTCGCATATCTGCGAATGAAGGGTGCGAGCACAGGGCGTTCCTGATGGAAAATTATACAGAACGGTCCACACAATTGTTACAAGGCATAGCCTTGTTTCTCAGTGCAATTAGAAAAAGATGCCAGAGGAACAGGGTGAATAGTTCAAAAAGTACTACGTTTATAGAATTATGTACTACTTTCAGATGCAACGATGCGTACTCAATTAACAAGTACATTACCCGACTAGTCACGCGATATCGCGTGTACGACGGCGAATGTGTTAGTGAACATATGAAAAAACTCCAGAAAATAAAATTACTTTGTTTCAAGAGGCACGTGCAATGGCAGACAAAACTTTTTTTCTGAAGATCACTTTTCCTAATATTTCAGTCGTTGTAAATCTATTTTTCAGAACATTCATTTAAAAATTAGATCAAATAGAAAACGCTGACTGAAAATGGAAAATGTCACTTAATACTTTTTAATTTCAAGGTTGCTTATTGTGTTATAAATTCTGCTTAACTTTCTGAGGCACGGAATTTGAGAACAAATATAATTTTATTCTTGTTTCAATTATTAGAGATGTACAATTATATAGAATAAATAAAAAAAAAATATTTTGAAACTGAACTAAATAAGTGAGACCTTATTAACTGAATAACCTCTGTGCTTCAAGTAATTTTAAGTTTTTGAGCTGGTGTAAAAAGTTAAGTACTTTTAAACTCATCATCTTTCAAAAATTGATGAATTTAATTAATTTGAAAAATTTAAAAATCTTATGGTTCAGCAAACTAATCGACACGAATTTATGTATTCGACACATGCGGGTGAAGCGTGCAACAATGCAACTCTATTGCTACAATCATTATTATTCAGATAGATAAGCGGTTCTCAACCAGTAGTATATGTATACATGCGTATCCTTGGTGATAGACGGAAAGCATCTGTGTAGTAACTGTATAATTGCAAGCAAAAAGTATTGAAAATACAGTAATTCAAACTGTTATTTAGAGGAGATAATTAATATTTGAAGAATTGTTTTATTTTATGGTTATACATACAAGAATATTGAAAATATTTATTTGAAATGTACAAACTGGTATTATTAATTGAAATAATAATTTTCTTAAGATGTATTAGAAATAATTATTCGAAATAACTT